AAAAAAAATAAAATTCTGATTGAGGTTTAAAATGTCTTTTCAAGAGAGAGTTGCATAAAGATTTTTTGTCAGTGTCAAATAAAATGCAAATTATTAAATATATAAAAAATTCATGTGCCTGCATTTCTTAAAACCTCATGTCACCTTCCTATGTTATTGTGCAGGAGAACACTTGTGCAGAGTACCTGTGCTATAACAGCATCACTAATGGCACCCCCTACGTTGTCAAAGTAAACATCAATGCCATCAGGACAGCTCTCCTTAAGCCTCGTCGGGACATCCTCCAGGTGATAGTTGATGGCTGTGGAGAAACCCAAATCTTCCACTATAGCTTTACACTTCTCATCAGAACCACAGATCCCCACCACTCTCACACATCCATCCAACCTGCCAATCTGGGAAAAAAACAAAACAAAACAAGCAGAGCAATAGATCTACAATTTTATGGAAGTATAGCGCATTTTTCCAACATCTCAGATAGTTTAATGTATTTTGTAGACATTAAACTATCTGGTACTTGTTGCATTTACCTGCCCAGCTATGGAACCACAGGCACCAGCTGCGCCGCTTACTACCATCGTGTGATTGGCCCTTTTGGTTATGTGACCCTTCTCTCTGATACCCAGTAAGGCAGTGAGACCTGTTATTCCAACTGCACCCAAAAAGTAGGACAAATGTCCATCAACCAGCTGTGGATCAACCTGCAAAGAGACCAAAACCTGAGTGACATCAGCATACATACTGTAGAAGGTAAGCTGCTTTTAGTCAGTGTGTTTTGCAAACACAGGGTATGAATCAGTTCCTTCACATTTGCAGAACACAGTGTAATTTTTTATGTACATATCATTAAGACAGGTTTCCTCTTCCTGTCTGCAAGAGGAAATATGACCCTGTTCACCAAACAGTGGTGACACACAGCAACAGAGACCTTCTGTAAGTCACTTCCGGTCATAACAGCATGGGTTTGCCAAGGCCAGTTGAATGAAATGACCACATCTCCCGCAGCAAAATTATTGCAGCGGCTGGAATCAATCAGTCCCACACCTCCACCATCCACGCACTTGGAAATCTGCCATGGAGTCAGGTAATCAGCACCGGTGTCCTCATTCATTCTACATCGCTGACAGGGAAAGAGTTTTAGTGGGAGTTAAAAAAAACAAAACACAAGTTGTTACTTTACTGTGCTGTAGTCTTTAATTTTAATTACAACGTTTTATTACTCCAGACAGCAAATGCTAAAGGTCATTACTGATGCCTGCTGTTGCTGTATCAATGTCATGTGTTTGTGTTAATACCATGTAAGGGTCGACTGAAAGATAAAGCGTCCGAACAAGAACTTCCCCATCTTTCAGGTCAGGTGCTAAAGTAATCTCCTCCAGGCGGAAATTTTCCGGAACTGGCGCCCCGTTTTTACCTGTATGCAAAAATAGAAGGTTGAGTAAACACTAGCCACGTGATTGCAGTAATGGTGCAGTATCAGTTACTGTATTAAAGACTTAAAAACTCAAGGTGCAGAACACGATAAAAGAGGAGAGTAAAAATGTTACACACCTGGTCGTGAGTTAAGAACGACTCTTTGCACCTGCATCTCACTGAAATATCGCGAGCACCGAGGTTGAGTTTGTAGCAATGACTAAAACAGGTAGCAAACGTTAAGTTTCTGTGAGCGGTGGGCTCGGTTACAGTGTTAGAGAAAACGATGTGGACAAAGTATTTTACCGTAGCAACACGTGAAGATATCCAACGGCTTATATTACCGAACAGGTTTCTTGTTATCAGTTTGCAGGCTAGCAGAATGTCAACAGAGACCACGAAGAAAGTCACGACCACAAGAGCGAGAGAATTCCGTGCTGCTCAAGTCCGTGTTCGTTTAAATCCTGCGAGGCTGACTGCTTAGGGTTGGTGGATTTTTTTTTTTTGTGTGTGTTTTTTAGAAGTTTTGTCTACATTTAGATTTGCTAGTAATTCATTCTTTTTTTTAAATGCAGTATATATTGAAATAATATAAGCTCTAACTTGAGATACCTGGATGAAAGTGCGACATTATTCAACCGATGTTCCGGTGCAGCGGGGGTTTACTATCTTGCCTGTGATAAACTGTGATAACCTAGGTGCAGTTGAGCCGTTAAGACAAACGGTACGCGGCCTCAACAGCCCCATTTTATTACAGTCGAGTTTAACAACACTGCAGCTAATTAACATTTTAGCAGTTCAGTCGGTCCGTTTGACATTTACATATTCACTGTTAATGTCCCGTTGCACCATCGACTGCTAGCTAAAACTGAATCAAAGTAGGACTGGGGAAGTGACGCCTGGTGAGGGGGAAAAAAGTTTGATGCTTAAATCAGTCGCTACCGTTACACTATTCTAGCATGCCGTCAGGATTAGGTGCAGCGGGGCGCTGTCGAAACAGCGAGATGATGAAGGCTTATGTGCCATGGAAGGGCAGAGTTTAATGTAAGTACCGTTACTGCATAAGGGCTGTTTTGCATGCTGCTAAGTATTTTGTTTATGAAGGCGAATGCTAAATGGGAAGCTATTAATGTGTCATTACTAGACAGCGAGCTTTGATCTAACCCCTGTTTTGTTTTTTGTTTGTTTTGTTTTTTCTTTCAACCCACGTCCTTCTCACAAACGCGAGTTGTAAAAATCCCAGAAAGCCCCCAGACTACCATTCATACCAGCGATGTCACATTTATCTGAAAAGTCCCTCCTACGTAAACAGTGACACTTGTAAGTTAGGCTGGAATGTGGCGACGTGCTAAAACGTGACTTTATTAAGGAGAAGCATCGGTTTTGGGCAGTCGTTGCAAAAGCGTGTCAGCATTTACAGTGACATTTATGTGCACTTTTTAGAAACCTCTTCTGTTGTGTACATGGTAGATTAGATTACTGTACTGATTAAGAATGTGGGCTCTAAAATGTCAGCACACGGAGGGAAGATGCTTGTTTTCTTGTGATTTCATGCTTTCCTTTTCTGCACTTTGTTCTTACTGTTTCCAGAAAATCCAGAATCCAGAAAATGAGCTGGATTCCTCAAACATTAATGACTAACCCATTGATCAACCAAATGTTACAGCCATAAACTTTGAAAACTTATATTGGTGAGTCCTGTCAAGTAATTTGAGATCCACAGAGAAGAAGGAGAGACTACAGGCCTGCACTGCTGTCATTAATTAATTAATTAATTAATTCAATTAATTTGATCCTTTACACATATGAAAAAAGGCTATGCACTTTGGTGAAAAAACACCCACATTTCCTTTTGGTTTATCGAATTGTTTCAGTTCACTGAAGTCCAAAGTCAGCTGATATAGGCTTCAGACCCCCTGCCACTGTGATATGGTTCAGAAAAGGGGTGGATGGTTGACATGAATGTGTACATACATGTACAAAGAAGAGTTCTGAATAGAGAACACCACAATACAGTTTCGCTAAAACTTAGCGCAAGCAATCAGGGCTCTTTCACTTTTGTTTTTAAATAATACTCATAATAATAGTAGTAATAATAATAATAATGTCATTGTCGTCATACACACACACACCTGTTGTTGTCTTCTTTCTGTCTATTTGTCTCCGTGATGATCTCCTCCTTTTCCTCCTGTCAGCGCCACTTGCCAATATCACTATCTGTTGCACTTGTTCACTGCCCCATTCGGATGAGTGTCAAAATAAAAATCAATGCACAGATAGAGCTCTTCTTGGGAAAAGCACAGATTTGAGATGTGTCTACTTGTACAAAGGGAGTTCTTTTTTTTTGCTTGTCACAACAATAATAATAATAATAACATAATAATAATGATGCAGGTATAAAATATTCACTGGATACTTGCTTCTTCATTTGTGAGGTTCGGCAGGCCTTCCACTGCTGACAGCAGCCTGGCTTCTTCATTTAGATCCAACCACAGTTTCAGATTATAAATCCACTGCAATTGTGAGGTGCTGCTACAGCTATCTTCTTGTTAGCTTGCTGAATTGGTTGAGCAAAAAAGGAAAACTTCCATTAGCTTCCTCCAAAGGGTGCACGGGCTCGGCCTTAAGAGATCGGATGAGGATGAGCCACTATTTTACCACATCAAAAGGGGCCAGTTGAGGTGGTTTTGCAGACATGTCCCACTAGGAGGAGGCCCCAGGGCAGACCCAGGACACACTGGAGAGATTACTCTAGGCTGGCTTGGGAATGCCTAGGTGTGCCCCTGGCAGTTGGAGGAGATGGAAGTGGTGGAGGCCCCTGGGCACTTGCGCAGAATGCCCATTGGATAATCAGGCCGAGCATACAGATAGTCAGCTGTTATATTAGTGCATTCCTTTAATTGCACCTGTGTGCTTCCTCTTATTAGTTATCTGTGAAACTGCCAATTTCTACTTAGAGTATATCTCATTTCTCTGTTCCACGTTTATTTTCACAGTTTACTTATTTGGATAGCCATTTAAGCTGTTTTTCATTTAGAAATCCTTACATGCTCTGGCTCCAGTCTATGATTCAGTGTGGAGATTTTGTCCTTATCTGTATTTTGTCAGGAAATTGGGCGTGCATTTTGCAATGTTTCCTAAGGTAATGAAAATATCCCATTGAATTGAAGACAGTGTGATTCCTATGAAGTAGCATTTCATTGTTTCACATTATTATATGGAAAACTAAATCACACAACCCTTGTTATAAACACTTTCTGTGCCCCACACCCTCAAGGGCCTTTCTGCATTTGCCTCTAGAAACAATCTTCCGTCTGCTGTTTCCACGTGTAAACATTACACATAGATTTCACAGAGAAAATATTCAATAGAAAGAAAACAAGAAGTGTGAATGCAGTGAAAGGAAAGTGAACGTCCTTCCCCTTCAGACCGTCGGTCCTCCCATGTGTGTTGGAATTTCCCGCATGGACTGAGAAGGATCTTGCTCCGTAAATTACGGCGCCTTGCATGTCAAAGGAAACCCCTTATTTGGGCAGGGAAGTGGGTGTGGCCAGCGCGCTGGTGGTGTTGGAGGGCTGGGTTGGTGGCTGGGTTAAGGGAGGGGGGAATCACAAGACGAACAGAGACGCGCAGAGCAAATAGGCCGCATTGCCAGTGTGTATGTTTTTAGTGCAATCATCGTGCAATAATGTGCAACAGACAGCGGCATCACTGCGCTCACGTTTCTCCAGATTAGCACCCCGTTTCCTATCGGGAAGGACTCTTGTTTACGCAGCGAGGTTGACCCGTGCACCCCCTCCTCTCTCCCCTGTCTCTCCACAAATTTTCCCTCTTTGTAAGGGGAGGTGAAGGGAAGAAAAGTAGCAGTGAGTGAGTGAGGTCAGCAACATAGCATGAGTCAACCTCGGGGATATATGCAGTCATCATCGCAGGAGTGCATTGTGCGGGCCTGCTGCCGCTGCTGGCCGCACAGAGCTGCGAGTGTGCGATCCTGCGGGCTGAGCTGCCGTTAGTAGCAGCTTTCATGACAAACACAGTAAGTATCGGGGAACACGGGGCCGGAGCCACGCTGTCGATGACTGTGGCGTTGTTGATACGGTCGACACTGCGCGTTATTGTGGCCACGGCTTGCTGACAAAGTTTTGTTTACCTCGCCCGTGGCGGACTGGGCGGTCGACAGATCGGAGCTCCATGCGGGGCTTACCGCTCGCCCTGTGCGACGTGTTTAACGTGCCAGTGAACGCGGATCGCAACGAAAATACATAGAAAGAAACGTGACGTATTAATTTTTTTGACAAGTTGAATCGATTAGCGTTGTCTGTTAGCCGTGCCACCACACTTTCTTTCCTCTCTCGTCACGGGGAGCTGCATTGTTGCTTCGGTTTGTTGCAATGGGACATGGCATTAGTGAGTAGATAATCCGTTTTCTGCAACAAAGGGCTTCTCGTAAAACAGGCTGGAAACAGAAAGTGATGTGGAGGGAGTGGGTCCAGGGCAACACGTTGAGTGTTCTTGCGTTTTCTTTATTTGTGCAGGCCGCGTATTGTGTGTGTGTGTGTGTGTGTGTGTATGTGTGAGCGCTAGTGCTGATTTTGAATTAGGAAATGGCGATGGATTAGGGCGGCTAATGGTGCTTGACATTTATTTTAAGCCATTTAACGTGTTAGTTTGTATATTGGGCTAAACCCCAGGCTTGTGTAAGGCTGCACTTGTGATGCGTCATGATGATCTCTCACCTCAGATGGTGCTGTTAATGCTCGGCATGGTCAACCTTAACCGTTTTTATTTAATTATTTCTTTATTTACTTGATTATTTTAATCATCCTGCAAGAAACGTGCAGCTTTTCGTAGTGGATGTGTCAGCGTTTGACAACGTGTCTGCATGCATGTGTAGCAGCACATTGTGTTGCTACTGATGCAGAAACAGCTTCTTAGCCCACATAGTGTGGCGATTCACTTTACTCTGTCAGTGGTGTCTCGCAGAGAGTGCAGGATCTGAACAGCTGCAGCTTTCTATTTTAAGCTGTGTGTGTGTGTGTGTGTGTGTGTGTGTGTGTGTGTGTGTGTGTGTGTGTCTTACCAGGTCACCAGAGTAAAGGGTGACAATTGTCAGTCACTTCCTATGTTGTCAGAAAGGACCTTTGGCAAGGCCATCCTGTAAAGATTCTCATGTTCATTTATGTAATCATCTTACCAAATTGTTGGTGTGCAACACGAGCCGTGCAGTGATTACAAAGCTGTAATGCTTTTCTCTTGAAGTTGTTTAGTGTTGCACAAGGTTTGTTTTGTTTTACACAGACGGAGAATTGATTTGAAATTTTAACAGGAGCAGCCAGGATGTTTTTGGCAAACTGGACTGTGCCAGAATCTGTTTTGAAACTCGGACATCAGATAATATTTTAATAATGGGTTACCAGCAATTGTCAAGATCTTTCCATAAGCTAAAAAAAGCCTTCAAGGCCATTTTGACTTTTTCCTTGCTCCCCCCCCTTTGCATAGATAGTTTCATACTGACTCATCTTTGCTCACTTTCAGTTGCCCTTCTTTTTCGAGTCTCCGGCCGTGGTTCAAAGGGCATGGGTTCCCTTCTTTTCCCTTTGATGAGTCACTGAGTTGTAAGAGAAAAAGGAAAAAAAAAAAGTGGTTTCTATCACTTTCAGTCCGCCGTCTGTTACGCGGGAAAGGGAGCTTCCTTTTAGTCAAAGGTCACGTGTGCTGTTTGATAATGGTGATAAAGCAGTGGCACAATGTACAATTATGCTTCTTTTTTTTTTCTCCCACAGTGCTTGTTTTTGTTTCATTGCTGATTAAATGCAGCACAGTAATATCCTGTGTAACATTTCCAGGAACTATTGATTTGGCTGTCTCTCTCAACTACCTTATTTTGGTTCCAGTTTTCTACACGCGTCTGGTTGTATACATGCTAGCCTGCATGTAGGACATCATCCCTTTGTCACATGAGCTTTGTGAATAGGCGCCTCGCATGCTCTGTTCTCACACCCATGCTTTTCGGTCGAGGTCTATTGCTGAAAAAGCAAACAACAAGTTTTTAAATGATTGAGTCAGGGATGTTAATGAGACCCTCCAGTGGGGAGAGTCCCTTTAGACTGATAGCTCAGTGCTTGACATCTGTCTCATTTTCTCTACAGGGTGTTGTCCATGAATGAGAAAAACACACAAACGTCTTCATATCTGTTCGCTCCTGGCTGACAACCTTTGATTAGGTCACAAAGAACTTCAGAGGGGATAGACGATAACCTTGTTCAACCTGGCTCCTGCTTATTCTGACGTCAGTGTGATTTTTACTGGTTTATTTTATTGTACATTCCCTATAAAAGGGTATACGTGTATATTCCCATCTTTGATTGCTGGATTGATACATTCAAGTGGAGTATTATCACTTTAGCTGACTGAAAATTTTTACCTGCCTCGGAATATTCATGCCCGTCATGAGCGTACCGGCGCAGCAGAAACCTAATGCCAAAAGAACAGGCAAACGAATCACATTTTTCAACGATCAAAGTGTAGCAATGAAGGAGACTTCTCAGCACCCAGATGGGTCCTACTATGTGGCGAGTGGTAATGTTTCAGAGCCTGGACAGAGTGAGGCTGCAAGTACTGTGACATCCAATCCAGAGGGCCCTCATATGTACCTCAGCTCTGTCATCTTCAGCCCAGATAAGGGCGACCACAGCAGGGGTCATTATCAGCAGACTGTACCCATGAAGTGGGCTCACCAGGAGCCCAATCAGCAGCAGTCGAGAGCTGCACCTTGGACCACCATGCCTCACTGGGGGCAGAACTTTCCAAGTTATATTGGAGGAGTAACTGACTCAAGGACCCAGAATGTATTTGTGAAGTCAATGCAAGAGACCGCTGGCTTGCAGCCACATCAACAACCCCCTAACAGAGCTGCAGACAAACCTGCAGTGGAAGTGTTCAGGGATGTAGGCAAGTCTCGGGGGATGGAGTGGGAGCAACAGCAGCAGCAGCCGCAAGTTTTTCAGGACACCTTAAAATCCGGGGTGATCAACACCCAGCAGCAGAGCACATCCCACCCAGGAGGAAGCTCAGTCCTGCAGTCCTTCCAGTTGGCCTTTGGTCAGCCCAAGCAGCACCTGCCTGCCTACTACCAGACGTTCCAAGGTAACAAGACAACTCTACCTAACCCTCCAAACTACTCGGCACAGAATGCAAAATCCCAACATCATTTACAACAGCTGCAGAAGCAAGAACAAATACAACGGCAACATCTAATCCAGCAACAAATGCAGCAGCAACAAATCCTTCAGCACCAACAACATGTGCAGCAACAGCTACAGCAGCAGCAACAAATACAGCATGAGCAGCAGCAACAAAAGATGCAGCAGCAACAGCTCCAAATTCAGCAAATGCAGCATCAGCAGTTGCAACAACAAAACCCCCATGTGCTTGACTATTACCCTGGTGTGCAAAATGCAAACCCTCACGCTCACCCCCAGCCCGTTGTGGTACACTCCTACGAGTCCTCTGGTCCAGCACCGCCAAAGATCCAGGAACCAATCATCCAGGACATCACACCAGAACCACAGCAGCCATCAGACCCGCTGCAGCCCCCTCTGCAGTCTGAGCACCTGACTCAGTCGCAGCCTCAGATGCAGCCTCAATCCCAAACGCAGCTTCGCAGATCTCGACGGCTCTCCAAGGAGGGCGGCGCGCCTTCGGACAATCCCTTCCTGCCTGTCCCCTTGGAGCAGTCAGCACCAGTGCTTCAGGGACCGCAGAACGGGTCACGAGACATCCAGGCAGCCCCGACAGGTGTCATCCAAAGCACACGCAGGAAACGCAGGGTTTCCCAGGAGGTCAACCTGGAGATGCTTGCTCAGAAGGCCTCAGAAAGGGAGTCTCCACCATCACATCTTAAGGTAAATGCATAATTTCATTTGGAAACTGGCAATGCAGCTATTTTTCCCCCCTTGCCTTTGCTTTTATGTGCCTTTCTGTTTTCCATGTTGTTTTGCCCACTCATCTGCTTCTCAGCTGTTTTCTATCAAGCATAAGGACGGCAGAAACAAGTATTGATGTAAAAGGACAGAATGTTCTGAATCTGAGTGATTGCACTGCTGTTTAAATCTAAACTTGTCGCTACAAGCTGGAAGCCTTAATTGCAAATATTTCGGTGAGAGCTGGAAGTCTAGGTTTCTAGCGTTATCCCAGGGTATAATTGCATTGGGATTTTTACTCCCAGAGCATGAGTGGGAACTGGGACAAATGCCCCTGCCAGGAAAACTGTGCCAAAAGTTGTGTTGTTTGTGATTAACGTGTTGCTGGAAGAGATGCTGAATGTAATCAGAGCCCAGTGAAGTGTACGCCGCAAAAGTAAACTGCTCAGCTCTGCCCTGTGGGGAAAATCTGCAGCTAAGACAAAACTTTACATAGCAAATATTAAATTGGGGTAAAATGTGCTCTAGAAAAGCCTCCATGTATGACTTTACACCTCTCACAGGATTTGTTAAATGTACAAACCTGATATTATACCCTGACTGTACCATGCAAAGTCATACAATTATCTGTGTTTATGTGCTGAATGTCTTTATTGTGCAACAAATGCTGTTGCTAAACAGTGCTGAGTCAGTACGTCTATAGTTAAGCATGGCTTTGGCCTGAATTTCCCTCACAGTTAGCTGCTTGTACAGGCAGTGTGTTTAGTTACATGCTTGCACGCCGTCCCCTTCAAAGCAGAGAAACTCCAGCCTTCCCTCCCCCCTTTATCTATACAGGGAGGGGTGCAGGGTTGTCCTGCCTGCAGTGCTCAGCAGAATATCTCTCCACCACTCTGGTGGAAGGGCTGGAGTTTTCCACCAGCAATAATGAGAGCTGCTCCAGCTTAGCCACAGTGCTGCATGCCTTTCTAACCATGAAGATGCAGCGTGCAGAGACGGCATGCATCTGCCTTCAGCTGTCCTATAATGTGGTCGTTTAAATGGCTTTGAAGTTGTTCCTCAGTTGATCGTGGCACAGAGGCTGCTCGGGCCCACTCATTATGGTTTGTCGAAGGAAAAAAACTGTGAAGAATGCCTTTGGGGGTTGTTCCGTCGAAGTGCATGTTAAATATGTCACTAAAGTGCTGCACCTAGCAGTAAAATACGATAGTGAAAGGGCTGAGAGTGAGACATTATTATATTTCAAATTCTGACATTTGAAATTTTTCTTTCCACAGCTGTTCACTTTCTCTTGTGCTTTTTTTTTTTTTTTTTTTTTTTTTTTTTTTTTTTTTTTTCTTCAATGTGATTGGTGCCTGCATCTGTTTGAGTATTGATTTAATTGTTGTTTAGTGGGATTCCAGTTCATTGTACTGATTAGAGTTCGGCAGCCTGTTCAGCTGAATTAACACCCATCCTGTTAATCAGATCTATTTACTGGGGTGTGCTAAGCTGGAAAACAAAGCTACTCTTCCTTGGAGTTGGTAGGCAGTGGCATTGTTTACAGATGTTGTTTATAGGCAATTGATTTAATTAGTTGTCCTTTTTGCTTGTTGCTTCTGGTGAGTCTTTAGTGTGTCTTTAGTCTTTAGTCTACAGTGTTGTTGTTTGAGGAGTCAGATTAGCTTTTTTTTTTTTTTTTTTTTTAAAAAAATACTATTGAGTAGGCAGTAGAACTCATTTAGTATGGGTATAATTTTTTGATATGTCATATGCTTTAAAAGAAAACCATTTATAAAGAGCATTGCAATAATGAATTTTCATCTCTATTAGGAGCCACACAGGCCATGGAGTCCCACAGAACAAGAGATTATGAACCCTAAGCGACCTCGAGACGACAACCTTGTTCCACTTGTTATCCCCGTGTCTGTTCCAGTCCGGAGGCAGGAACCCTCGTCTCCCGAGAGTGACGAAGCAAGTCTGGCAACCAACTGGCCTCACAGGTCTTCAAACTCCCAGGATCTCGGGCGCGCAGACCACAAGCCCTCGGTCATCGTCACCCGAAGACGCTCACTGAGGAACTCCTTGTCAGACAGTGCAGAGCAGGTGGATACACGTGAAATTCTTGCTGGTTTTGCTTTTTCTACACTTAAAACACACTTTCATATGCAGAACTCATTCACCAAAATCTCAGAGGGAAGTTGCATGGGACTCTCCATGCAGTTAGGGAGAATAGACTGGAGTCCCAGCTTTTATATACATTTGGGTTTTTTTTTTTTTTTTTCTTTTTAATTCCAACTATAAATCCTTGAATTTATTCCACATTGTCCCACCCATGAACACATTCTCCCTTCCCCCAGCCATGCTTCATGCGTTCCCTGCCCCCATATTCGTCCTGTACCCTTTTCTCCCTTTCTCTCATTTATTTGGGTGGAGGGGGTATAGCTGGTGAACTCTTTGCCCTGTCCCAGATCAGGCAGATTAGCAGGGTTTAGCACTGCCATACTGTACATTATGTACCTAAGATTTGAGGGTTGGGGTCCCTGTTCTCTCTCTTTTTTTTTTCGAGGCGTTTACAGTCACTAAACCAACTTTGTGTATAATTGTTTTGGTTTTTTTTTTGCATGTTTTTAATTTGAGACACAAAAACTTCTGCTATAACCTCACCTCTTAAAATAAAATTTTCCTTCCTTCCCAGAACGATGGCGCAGAGGGTGAAAAAGACGACGATGGCAAAAAGTCCAAACGCCGTCCACGCCCTGAGCCTCTCTTCATCCCGCCACCTAAACCTTTATTCATCGCCCCGCCCGTCTACTCCAGCATTACACCCTACCAAAGCCACCTACGTTCCCCCGTACGCCTCGCCGACAATGCTATCACCATGCCCCCCTATACACCACCGCCGATCCTCAGCCCTGTTCGTGAAGGCACCGGCCTGTACTTCTCCACTTTCCTGTCATCTGCTTTGGCCAGTGGCCCAGGCCTGCCCCCTCCCGCTACACCCAAGTCAGCCACACGCAGCCTATTGCGATCTAGTAAGTAAAAAGGAAGTTTATAAAACTCGATTGAATGAATTTCCAGTTTAGATGTCCTTTAGATCAAAGTTTTGTGCACTTGTAATAAGCACCTTGCTGTAGTTCCCCATACTATTTATTTATTTATTTATTCATTTATTTAAAAATATATTAGAATTTTGACGGACTGCATATTAGTGTACTCCTGTGCTGTGTCTTTGTTGTTGCTGGAGTGAGTGCGTTATGTGTGTGTTTTGCTGCCCCCTTAGACAGCTGCGACATCACACCACCAGTTTTGTCTGCTATGAGCGAGGCCACTCCGGTCAGCAATGAGCCGTGAGTATTTCTCCTGTACGATCAGTTTAGAGGTTAAGTGCTATTTTGAAAGGAATTATATTGCTACAATGAATTATTCAAAGCATAACAGTGAATTGAATTACGAAACGTCTAGAATGAGAACATAGACTTCTTGAAATTCTAATCCCGTCTTTTAATGCAGCCTCCCCCTTCACCACAGTTACCACTAAATTCTTTTGCTCTGTCATCCACAGCTAACATTATTACCAGAAGTTGTCTCTTTGAATCAACTATGTGGCCCAATGTCGCACTAGAACATCGCGTTTTTTAAGGTGTACATGAAACCTGGTTTCAGTGTGATATGCAAATGTTATTTAAAGTTTTGGCAGAGTTGGAAAGTGATTAGAATGGGCACATGTAGCCGTTACTGATAGTAAAGCGGGGCTACCTGTTTTGCTTTAAGGATGCTCACTGGTTGCACTTACTGTGTTATAAATACAAAGAAACAATATTATACAATCTCATTTAATCAAAAACTTAAAAAAAAAAAAAAAAAAGGACTGCTGTTGGAAAAGAAATGCCTAGAATGAGTAATAGATTGTGAGGGTTGTATATGGTAAGATTCTGGATGGAAGGACCCTAATCCAGGGTGAGAATGACATTCACTACAGCTGCTAGTGAAAACTACTCTATAGAACGTTATGCATTTACTGAATGTAAATGTATAGAATGGCCACTCCAGAGAACTAGTGAAAGTAGATGTAGTAATGAAAATGTAAAGAATTACAACCTTAAATGCATTTCTAGATAAAGTCAGCAGTTACTCCATGAATAAACAAAGCCACTGATAGCTGGGTGTGTATGAAAATCCATTTTTTGTAGTTGCATCAACGACGAGTTGCAGTTTATGGGGGTGCATTGTGCAAGCTGTTGCTTCACTGATGCCAGCTGCTCAGATGTTAGGCAGGGACGAGCTAGGGAGGCTTCCCATAAATCATGTTTTCAGCTGGATCTGGTGTGCTTTCAAACGCAGAACAGCCTTTGCAGGTCAAGTTTTAGCAGCCCACTTTCTCTGGGGGAGGCTGCCAGTATACACACACACTCAGCTGGGTACACTGCAGTTTCTCTGGAAATGCAAGGGAGGGAGGGGATATCCTAGCTCTATTTGTTGACAGCATAATTTTCACAACTTTCACACTGAGATATCTGGTTTGCATTGATATGTAAGCTTTTAAAGAACTGTATCTGATTCACATTTATTTTGGCATGGTTTTGTTCTTTTTCTTGCTAAATCCAGACCATCAGTTCAGCTGGGTTAACAGTACAAGAGCTGCAATGTTCAGAGCCGGAGCGCCTCAGCAATTTTTCTGTGACCTTTTAAAGAATATAACAGACGAGCAAAGAAAATAAAAACGTTCTCAGAAACAACACGAGCTTTACTGTAAAGCGCAACTTGATACTGATACTCATAAAGCAAATGCTGTCTTCGCTAAAACATTTAAGAGTGAATAAATGCCTCGTGAATGCAGAAAGAGTCGATGAATTTTAAATAGATCAAACACCTCCTGCCTTGTTTTTAAAACTGATGTCCTGTTCCCAGACGCATAAATATTGGCTCACGGTACCAGGCGGAAGTACCAGAGCTGAGGCAGCGATCTGCTGTCGAGCAGGATCATCATCGTGCAGAACTGGTCTGGGTTCCCCTGTGCGATCTGGAAGGAAAACCTGACCTTGAGGAGAAAGGTGAGTCACTACCTGAGAGTTTTTGAGAATATGAAGTGAAACCGAAAGCTTATATAATGGCACGCAGATGGTGGTGCAGTGAAAGGTTTGATAAATGAAAGTGGCCTTAAAGAAAAAAAACGGCTCTTCATAAGAATTTCAATTCATAGTATATAAATGTTGCAATATTGCGGAATTGATTTAACAGCTGGAGTATGTAATTTTGTTGAGTCATGGATAATAAAAACATACCAGAACACTGAAACCAACCATACTTTGTCTCCACGTATTGCATATCTTAATAATACATTTTCTTATTGTCATCACTGTATGCAAAATCATTTTTTTCTCTCTTGCTTTTGCAGTGGAAGACCTCATGCACTTGGCCTGCTCCAGCGTTTTATGTGGAGGAGGCACCAACCAGGAGTTAGCCCACCATTGTCTGTACGAGTGCAAAGGGGATATAATGGTGAGTTCAACAGAACAGTCCATACTGACTGCAACAGGGATCACCATGAATAATAAAAACATAACTGGGAGCTGTACTTCACCGTGGTCGGACTCGAGCCAGGTTTTCTTCTAGCCCACTCACACTTTACACCAACCTGTTTACCTCTTAAGACTGTTTTCACTTACAGATCACAGATAAAGTCCACACAGATTATATTGTGTTACAGTATAGTAACATTCGGTAGAAGTTGTTAAATGGTAATATTTCATATTTGAGACAAAGGCATCATGCATAGTTCTTATATGCTCATTTATTGTTGCAGTGCTCCATGTAACAGAATGAATGAATTATATTTGTCACAGCACAAAAGCAGACAAGAATGCACTAATAAATTACTAAAATTTAAATAGCTAGAATATTTGGCAATTTTACTTGAGATTTTATTTTAAATCTCATGTGAACAATTCTGCCTGCGTGTTCAGTGTAGGAGAAAAAAGGCAGAGGAATGAAGAAAAAAATCAGTATTTGTACTGATGTGTCCTTGTCAAAATAATTAAATCCTGCCTGCAGAAAACATGTCAAGCTGTATCTTCGGTACCCTGAAAATAGACCAGCACCATTTCAAAAATGCACTGCAGAAATCTTGAGCCACCCAATATTTCATTATACCTTTCTAGGAAAATGGGAAATGGGTGCAGTGATTTATTGCAACATTATTTATCTCAGTCAAGATGATCCCCTCTGGGGAGGCCAATTCATTACTGATAGGATTGCATGGTCTTTTTTTCTTTCTTTTTTTTTTTAAACTACATATGCATTTATGGAACTGAGAGTGTGTTTGGGATCATTTTAATGCTGAAAAATGAAGCAGTTATCATCAGATCGTGCTGTATGGTAAAACTGATTTGGATTTCAAGATTGGATTTAGCACTTTATAGGACTTACTGCCACTGATTTTCAGTCTAGTTCTCGTGTAATTTGGAATACCTCAGACTTTTCTTCCCGTTTCCCTTCCTGAAGAATGGCAGATATTAATCTTCTGTAGGCTGTTGGCCTGTCACATCTTCTTGTTGTGCTCAACATGTCCAGTTTCCTCAAAAATTTTAAAGACACACTGCACATCATGCTGAGAGATACCAAGTTGTTGGATAGTAAATCATTGGGAATCACTGTGTTGGTAGAAAAATACTCTACTTTTCATAGATAAAATGAGTGCTGCTTTGAGATTTATGCAGTACACTACTGTATATTATAGAATATACTGACTGCCTGCTTATACATGTTCGGTTTAGTGATGAGTGCCCTTACATGTGCTGAGCATGTTTTTAATGTAGTCATTCAGTGCCTTTAGCACTTGGTGAGTAGTGAAAGGAAGTGAGTGATCAGTAGAATTTCACTTTACTCTGTTCTGAAACCCCGGTGGCCTGAGATGACGGAGATAGTAAAACCGTTTGGCTGTTTAGTCAGAAGCAGACTGATCCTCCTGTATCGAGGCACAAAGAGGTACATGTGCTGCTGGGGGCTGTAAAGCTGAAACATTTATTTAATCAGTTGATAAACATAAAATGGTTAAGGGAGATTTTAAAAGAAATGTGCCACATTTTTGATAGCTCTCATGCTCTTAGTCGGAGCTATCTGCCTTTTTTCTTTGTCATATGTGGTAGTGAACATATCTTTAGTGGTTGATGAAATTGTTGGCTGCATTCCCAGGTGATTAGTGTTATGTTTTGAGTGTGCTTTAGTGCATTGTTTCACACGTTGATCTCAGAGAAAAAGACAGCACGGCCAGTAAAATGTACCGTGGCTGTCAGTCACGTTGTCAGGTTCACACATTCTTCTTGGCGTTACTCGCAAGAGAAAAGCGCCTTAAATGCAACATGTGACATAAATGTTTATGACCTTGCCATCACTCAGCGTGGCGTTCCTGAGAAATCTGCCTGGACAGACGGGTGTTCCACCACACTGCAGCTATGATGCATCCTGTGTCTCATACTTACTGAAGACCACTAGTTGCATCTGAGCACATGAACAGATCGATCTAGTGAAGATTTCAGTGCTGATACTGCAACATGTAAGCCACCGACTGAAACGCAACTTTCACAGCTGCGTTCAACAGCAGAATAATAAAACATTTACATAAAACACACCAAACCTCAGTGTGTGTGAGAAATAATAGACTCTGCGCTTGTTGTAATGAGGTCAAAGAGTGGTTGCTGTTAAATGTTGAGGAGGCAGCATCTCTAGTGGCTCTTACCCACCATATCAACCCCATTAAATTCCCAGCAACTGAACATCCAGTGACTTTTTCATATATATTGACTTTAAAAACAATGCTAAATGTCAGTCACTGTTTCCTGAAACACACAAGTGTTCTTCTGTCACACTTGATATGGGCTTAGTGTAAAGACAATTTAAAGAGGATGTAACTGATGATGGTATGGTAATTATGTATGATACTCATCAGCAGAGGAAGACTCTTTGCATTGCGCATTACGTTGCACTTCATTACAGTGACTTTAATGCAGATCTTAAATCAATACTTCCATTACTGAAGCAGAAGTTGTCTTGCAGCGTAGTAGTAGAGCTGTCAGTGTGCTTTATGATGCTGCTGGTTAAGATTTCAGGCCCTAGCGACCAGCAGTGGTCCAACGTTGTCAAGGAAACCACGAGGGGAGGGGGAGGGGGCTGTCATAGCGCCCACTCTCTGCAGCGGGCCGGCTCGAGCTGCCGCCTTCCAGCATTCATGCACAGTCAGTTTCTCCTTTAAGAGCACAAAGTTAATTGTTATTTTGACAATGGCAGAGAGCGCGTACAATTATGATATAAAGCCCTCAGATACCTGGCATTTTCAGGGAAAGTGAGAGCAGTGGTTATCTCAGTCCCTAGTTACCTGTGAGAAACTGATTCACGCTTTGGCTCAGTGTTTTACGGATCTATAAAAGCACAATTGGAGCGCCTAATAGAGCAGGAGTTGGCTTTGTGTAGCAGGAGGGACTGGCTGTATAAAGGCTCGTAACAATCACTGCTGTGCAGCTGCTGTGCCGTGTTTATTCACTTTCAAACACTAATGGTATGTTATTTGTTTTTCAGGCTGCTCTGTCCATGCTGATGCTGAGGAATCCAATTTTCCCAAAGTCTCATCATTTGTCCAACTACCATTACTCAGGTAAATTAAGATTTTTTTCTTTCAAATAACGTTAGATTTTAAAAAAGGGTATTTGAGATTTTTTTGTAAAGTAGGAAAAAAACACTTGATTCACTATCAAAAAGTTGATTTTCAAGCCTTTTTCTGTGCTAAACATATCCAAGTTGTTTGGTTTCGGTCTGCAGTGATATTAAGTTCATAACGTGGGGTTTTTAGACTGAGTGCATAAAGCAAGTTGCTATACGGTAAGATTATCAGATCAGATTAGATTAAAATCAAATTAAATTGCACCGTATTTATGCACCATTCTTGTTTTTGTGACCTTGTCAAGTAAAAGTCATATCCATTATTGCTATTTCTGTTATACTCCAACCAGCTGGTACTTCAAGAAACTCAAAAAAATTCTTATAAATCATTGAGAATTCTGATTTCACCCAAGATGAACCCCATGTGTGCATATTTTGGCTTTTCATTTCATTCTTTAGACCATTTTTTTTTTTTTAGCCCCAGTTTTTGTGCTTTCATCATTAAAACAGTGATTGACTTTGAGCCCTCTGCCTTGCCTCAAAGCAGCAGCAGCTGCAGTAGTGAGAGTGTGGCCGTGGTGGGTTAGTCGGTGACTGTGGAGGATTGTCAGAGTCAATGTGATGAGGGAAGTAGGAGAATTGGGTGGGGGGGTGGGGGGGTTGGAGAGGCTTGCAGCATGTGGTTAATCCCAAGCAGGAGACAGGGGAGCCTTTGTTTATCCAGTTGTGTGTGTGTGTGTGTGTGTGTGTGTGTGTGTGTGTGTGTGTGTGTGTGTGTGTGTGTGTGTGTGTGTGTGTGATGTGTGTGTTTGTGTGTGTGTGGTGTGGTGTGTGTGTGTGCTGTGTGTGTGTGTGTGTGTGTGTGTGTGTGTGTGTGTGTGTGTGTGTGTGTGTTGAGAGTGGGGGTGGAAGTGAACTTGACGAGGCACCACACACACACACTTTATATGGAAACAGATAGTTTTGGAGTGTTTTAAACTAACAACTGCATTTTTTCTTTCTACCTCTCCTCCTCCTCCTCTGTCTTTCTACAGGATCAGACAGTTGGACAGCAGCTGAGAGACGCCAGTTTAACAAAGGCATCGCTGCATACAAGAAAGACTTCTTCACGGTGCAGAAACAGGTATGTGTCCTTTCAAACACAAGGAGAGGGAAGTCCAGACTACAGTGATGGAAGAACAAGGCCATCTAGTAGCTGTCGATCACTTTCTACTATGATCACTGTAGACATATTTTTCTTCCTTTGAGTCGCTTCATAGAAGTATTTCCTTTTGGTTTGATGTTTTTTTTTGGTGTCTCATAGTCAACAGGTTTTTCTCAAAAGTGCAAAATGATACAATTTTGTTGTCTGAACCATTTCAGAGATCAAGGAGGTTTTCTTTCAAAAATAAAATTTCAGTGTCGCTGAGGTTCCTGAGGATTTTGCACATGACGTTTACTTGTCTGCCATATTGGACCTATGATAACTATAGTAACAGTGTAGGGTCAGTGAATAAGGCCCTAGTTACACAGGCCTAGAGGCTGGTTCATAACCATCTGGCAACCAGGGATCATGAGGGGACAAAAATGTATATTCTCCAACTGTGCCTTTGGTCACGAGCAGATTGCTGTGGTCAGCCTACATGCAGACTCGCCAGCTACTTTCTGAATGGTAGTGAAACTGTGAAAAGTGCAGCATGAACTGGAAACTTAGGCCATGTGCTTTCAAAGCAAAGCAAATTTTATCATTTTCCAGTTTACTGCACACTTTTCCAAGTTTTATTACCGCTCTGAAAGCAGTTGGAGTTTGTTTGCAGAGAAGTTTGTCTCTACAACTTCAGGCAGCTGCAAATATCTGCCAGTGACCAAAAGAATCCTAAAGATGTTTTTGGTGTAAAACCCTATTTGTGATCAGCTTCACCCAACAACTGCCAGCAATCCCTTGCCAACCATTTGGGAATACCAATTTTCCCCCAGAAGATGTTGCATCACATCCAATGTGGTGGATGTGATACAACCCCTGTAAGGTTACTTTAACTATCATTGGCTTGCGTCAAGACGGAAACACACTCACTTTAAGAGAGGGTGATGTGGCATCATTTGTCATTCGGGTTATTGCTTTACTAAAATAGCCTCTCTCTAGCCAGTGAACCCGCGAAAGCTAATACTGGGCACTAGCATGGTCCATGCCTTTACTATAGACTGAGGCTGGAGAGCTCCTTACCTGCCACTCTGCACCAAGCACATCAGCTAGCTCAGCGTTCCCCAACCTTTTCTGCGCCATGGACCGGTTTATGCCTGACAATATTTTCACGGACTGGCCTTTAAGGTGTCGCGGATAAATACAACAAAATAAAACTAGTACTGGTACCGAAAAAAAGAAGATTTATTCATAACACACGTGAAAAGACCCAGGAAAACAGGGTTAACGATAAAAAACGATAACAAAATAACGCTGAAAACTGATTTAAAAACCCTGAAAACCATACATTTCACACCTGAGCCTCAACTCTCACGGTCCGGTACCGGTCCGAGGCCCGGGGGTTGGGGACCGCTGAGCTAGCTGATTAAGCTAACTGAATTAAGTACAAAATGATCATCAAAAAGTGTAGTTGGACAAGTGGTAGCCACAGTGTTAGCTGGGTTATTTTAGCTTCATTAGTCAAATCAAATTTAAACTTCTGAATTAGATTTAGTGCTGGCATTTTCTTTTTTATTGTCATTATCATTGTCTATCATTGTGATGGGCGTTTGTCATTATTGACACCATAGTTCACTGACTACTAAAGAAAAAAAAAAGAGAGGTGGAGGAAATGGCAGATGAATCAATATCGAAATGAATCATTCCAGCTGAATTTGCAACAAGATTTTTCAAGGCAATCGGATATAATTAAGCTGAAGTTGAAATGCCATGATGCATAAAAAGACCCACACACACATGTGTTTGTTTGTTTTTTTTAAAGCTCTGAACTCTTGTTTTCAAAAAAGTCATTTGGGTGCGATTGCTTGTTTTAGCAGCTCTGAAATGCTCATCCATGTAGAGCGACTGTATGAAAAAGAGAAATGTTTAAAATTCACTAATAAAGAGCGCGGTTGCGGTTCACAGGTATCCACAAAGACGGTGGCCCAGTGTGTGGAGTTTTACTACACCTATAAGAAGCGTGTGAAGACTGGCCGCAATGGTACGCTAACCTACGGTGAGACAGAGCCTTTGGAAAGCAAGACCACAGAAGAGGAGATGGACCGCAAGGTCAGTCTTAAACCATGTTTCACATTAGCGTTGCAGAAAATAGCGGATAAAAGGATGTCTGTTTAATACATGCAAATATCCTCACTGATCGCTGTTGAACTGAACTATGTAAAAGTCTGTAGCTGTCTGCAACTGTGGTTCATGGTGTCTACAGTAACCTTACACACTGATAATAGAAGGTAGAGCATGTTTAAAAAAAAAGTACAACTGCAGGCTGTTTGGGTTTTATGGTAACTGAATAGTGCTGCATGCATATATATATATCTATATCAGCATGTTTGCTATAATTGTATTTAAGTAGCCACAGTGCGAATGAAGTCATGTACAAAATAGCTCTCAAAATTAATTGTATACTAGTAGATGTAAGTTTCCCTCAGACATGTGTGTCTTACAGTCAATGTTCTTCTTGGACCAGCAGGGCTCTCACAGACTGGAGCCACAGCGGGAGGAGGACAGCAGGAAATGGGAAGGGTCAGCTGACAGGAAACCGGATGTCTGCCCTACCAGGACGTCTCATGCGCTGCCGTCCACAGAGAATGTACGTGTGCAATTAGAAGAGCTGCATGAATTAATGATGGCGTGAATAAATTAAATGAAAACATGTATAGCTGAGCAGCGAGCGCAGAAGTCTCTCCTTTCAGTGTTTTCTCCTCTTTGTCCTCAAAGATGAGATAAAATGAGTAAAACAGTATTTTTAATATAATACAACCCCAGAATACGAAGGTTGGTGCTCTAGTTTGGTGGCACTCAATTTCTCTATCATCACTGTGGTTATTATACTCATTATACTTATCGCATATAGTGTGTTATTTAGTAGTATAATATCCGTGCTTTTTTACAAAAATAATTTTTCACAGTAGAAATAATGTAATTTATATTAATCATCTTTAGTTTTTTGCTTTTGTGCACACGCAAACTATTCTAAAAGATATTGTAAAGCGAGTATATCGACTGATTTAGATTGAACATATAAGTTTGATATAAATTAATTTAAAGCAAAGAGAAACTGCAGGAGAGTTTGGGAAGATAAGATTAGATTTTATGGAAAATGTTTTGCGGCAAACTGATTCCTGCTTTAGAAATGTGTCAGTTGAAGATTTGTCCTTTTGAACCTTGCCTGAGTTGCTGGTTGGCTGTTGGTTTTGCTGCCCCCCGCTGGGGTTTTGGAGAAGAAAACTCAAGTCCTCCCCTCAGCTCTCTGCTCTGCATTGTGCAACTCCATAGTCTTTGTTGGGAAACGGTGACTCAGCAAGAAACTTTTCTCCTTTCTTTCTTTTTCATTTTTAAATGTTAAAGATGAATTCAGGCTGTGCGTATGTTGCAGTTTGATTGTGTCCTCATTTATGCGTCCACATGCATACCGTTGTGAAGCTATTCTATATAAAAGCTGCTCGTAAAGTGGCTTCAGCTGCACTAAGCAGCTATGTTAAAGGTGTTTTGGAGCTTTCATGTTAATGCACTTCTTTCTTTTATTGGGTGTGCAGCCTGGGACCGTTCTGATTATGAAAGGCCAGGACGACACTGGGAGGGAGCAGTCGCTGTCCCGGGTTATTCACCCCCCTCACCCGCCACCTCCCAGCTCCAAACAGCGCTACGAAAGCAACGCCCGCAAGACGACTCCTTCGACAGGCAACAAAGGCCCAGCTGGTCAGGAAGGGGAATTTCCCTGCAAGAAATGTGGCAGGTCAGTGATCAGAAATGTGGCATCAGTCACCGCTGTTGTGTCGGAGAGGCTGGGGTGAGTCTGTTTGCTTATGTAAAGATGACAGCAGCACTCATTCGAGTTGCGTAAGTAGCCTTAGACAGGACAAGATGGGGAAAAATAAAAATTTTGTCAGAAATATTTGTACTTCTTTTGCCCACTTGGAATATGAATGGTAAATAGAGGGAAGTGTCTCATGGTGTCTCTCTGAAAGAATCAAACCGTCCTGTCATGCTTTGGTAAAATAACAACTCGTCCTCTGGCAACACCGGCCATGTTATTGCCAACTGTGTCCTAGCAACCGAAACACAGAGTAGATACGGCACATCACACCTCCTGTCAGTGCAGCTCTACCCAATGACTTGAAGAGCACTACACTTGCTCTTCACACCAGCTCAGTGTCCTCATTATAGACTGTCCTCCACCACAGATATCCAGCTAGGTGATTCACAGCTTTGAAATGTTTTATCGCAGATCTGCTGTTGTGTCACATGACGTGAGATTTATTGTGGAGCTAAAATGATCGAATTTTAGTACTCTTTGGAGTTGTAATGTTTTCTTCACAAAAAGCGCAAAAAGTAGTGAAAATCATTGTTGTTTAGAAGCTTGTGTTTGTGTATGCTAGTGAACTTTGACCTCATTCTTTACAGAGAGACAGATTCTTTGCTGTCTGGAAGTACTGAGCTTAGAGTAAATGTATGAGAACCCTTTATATGAGTTGTTGAATAATGTGCAGTATTTCAATAAAACTTGAATAAAAGAGGCTTTATGAGGTAGTTCCCAGAGTGTATAATCTAATTTTCATTTTGTGCTCTTTAAAATAATAAAATAATTCCCCCCGGCTGAACCCTTTTACTTATAATGATGTCTTTTTGCTTAGTGGGCTTTGAACATTTTCTCTACACCATAATTCATAAAGTTATATATTCAAATTCTGCATATTCAGTCTTAAGCGGTTTGTTTTACTGTGACCATGTCAGGCAAACAGCAGCTGAAATGGGTTCCACCTTTTTCCAAACAGCCTTGTTTTCTTTGCATGTCTTTCCCTTTGCATTGGTACCCGATAGTGTTTGTTTGTTTGTTTGTTTGTTTGTTTTAATATGTTTAAATTAAGTTGTCAATGACATGGCTGAGGAACTTCCAATGTGTCACTGACTGTTTCAAAAATAAACTCTAGAGAACCAGTTTCATATCTAACAAGTCAGACCTAGTGATGAGGAAAGAGGTTTATCTGTCTCTGGCAACACATGATTAGTTGTTTTGATAATAGTGATGTTGGAGGCTGATGTCTTACACGTGCCCTGTGTGTGTTCAGCCACCTCCATTTGTCATGTTGCAAACAGACGCACATAGCCAGGACGTAGCTGGTGTCCAGTGTCCGTCCAGTACCAGGTTTTGGTTTTTTTTTTTGATGCTTGAAAGCAGCTTTGTGTTCCTGACCTCCAGACTTACAAACTGAGCTTAACTGAGCCTGCTTAACAAACACAAACAGCACTGCTTTCCTCTTTATAGCAAGAGTAGCAGATTGCATATTTATAGAGCCGTACATATTAAATGAGGCGATTATGCAGAGTTGCATTTTAGCTGCTTGTAAAGCATGAAGGCATTAATATAACCACTCTGAGCAATGAAAGGAAAATGCATCTTTGACCTGCTTTTCCCTAACCCTGCAGGATTTTCTACAAAGTGAAGAGCCGCAGCGCTCACATGAAGAGCCACGCCGAGCAAGAGAAGAAGGCTGCGGCTCTGCGGCAGAAGGAGGCTGAGGAGCGGGCGGCGGCTAAAGCAGCCGAGGCCGCTGCCATCCTGGCTGCGCGGCAGCAGAACGGGACGCGACAGGTGGGCGGCGACAGCACCAATGATGACTCTTCAGACGCAGAGGACGAGGACGACGATGACTGGCAGTAAATGGGAAGACCGTACACACCGAATGCAACGGTAGCGAGGTTTGATTACTGGACAGGAGAAGGACAGTTGAAAAGAAATAAAGAAACCCTCCCCCTGTGAAGTTTCTGTAAATTTTTGTGGAACAAGAAGACTTCTGTTACTTGGCACATTCAGGGACAGATGAGCTCCCGTGTCCTCATTTAACTGTGAACGCGTGGACTGAGTGAGAGTGTTTTATTCGTGTCGGAACAACGTGCTTTCCAAAACTCACCAACTCCCCTTTACTCTGCTTGAAAAGCTTTTCAAGTGTTACCTCTCTTGGTCACAGGGCTCAGTCAAATCAAAGCCATGCCGCTTCTTTCGGCGCTGTCCTTTTTCTCCACTCCCAGCCGCGGCCTTCCTCGCCAGTTTGAAACTCGCCCTGCATCATTTTGACAGGTGTGGAACTCGTCAGACCCCCTTTTGTTTAGTTTTTTTCTACTTCGCTTCTTACGATGAGCCACAGCACCCGCTTAAAAGCTGCATCTCGACCGTCCAGCATCGGGTGAAGTTTTGAAGACATTAAAATCGGACAGCTGGGGGAGCGTTGAAGCGAACGGAGGCTCGTGCTGTTAGGTTCTCCGCTCCGGGACGGACAGATGGATGGATGGCATGTGCAAACTGTTGCCTCTGTGTCGCCGCTCTCCTGGACACAAAGCTGCCAAAAGCTTTGTCAGACGCATGTGCGCCAAATGGGTTCTCTGTGTTCATTGGGCTTTTGTTCTGTGAAACCCCCTCCACCTACTCCACCTTCAGCCCCGTCACCTTTTATAGCTCCCAGTTAGTTCCTCACTGTCGATGCCTTGGATGTTATGCTTTTTATCTCAAAATGACAATCAATTTTACACTGTTGTTTTTTTTTTATTGATATGTATACAGGTGACGTTATTTTTTTTCTTTTTTGCCTGTGTAGCTGTATACGGTTATTGTTGTTTTTTTGTGAATATTCCTGTTTATTATTATTATTATTATTATTATTATTATTATAATATTCTGGTATTGGCTGCAGTTTAATTAAGCGCTTTTTCCCATCTTTGTCCAGAGCTTTTTTTTTTTTTTTTTTCTTCTGTTTTTTATTTTTATTTTTTTAATTTAAACAAAAAAACTCAATAATGCTACTTGCTGCCTGTTTATAACTGTGAGATTTCTTTTGGAAACATGAAATGAAGAAAAGGCAGAGATGTATGTGCAATAGAACAAGTTGACCCCCTGTTACCTGAGTGTTCAAGCCCACCCGGCCCCCTCCCACCTTCTCCTTCACGCTTACAACCAGCTGCTCCGGATGCCTCACTGGCACCGCTGTAACTGATGGGAAGCATTGACTCAGACTGTTGAAACTGCAGGTCTCTACAGATGCACACATTGAAGCAGAAACGGCAATGACCAACTCGAGACAGTTCAATTAAATTAGTTTGGATAATAGTGGAAATTTTTGCTTGTACAATCTGGCTCAAGCAAACTAAAATTGTCGTTATCCTGTGTAAGTAAATTCTTTACTTCCATCAAGAAATGGGTGAAGCAGCAGAAACTTTGCTCACTGCTAACTGAACCAATATTGTAGGCCTTTAGCACATACTTTCTACCTCAGTATGCTTTTTCCTCATACTTCCATCTAATTGCCGACGGAATACAAAAGGAAATTTCTTCTTTGTGGCTGGTTCAGACTAAAATGTCATATTTTGTAGGTTTTTAGAGGCAGTTCTTTGCTTCGTCTGTCTCACAGATTCTTAAATCTGGCTCTTTTATTATTATTTTTTCTTACACATGCCCTCTAGCTAAACCTGTCAGCCACAGCTCATTATTTACACTCCCCACAAACTGTTGATGATGGTAAATAATTTACTGGCAAAAGCTGAAACACAGGCATTAAGAGAGATGGAAGCTCGAACTTTACAGAGTTTTATCGCTGTCATACAAATTCCCCTCGAGTGTTTGCTCCTAAGTTTACTATAAACACTTCACACAGACTGTTTACTATAAAACATACAGATAGGGACAAAGGGAGGGACCATTCTCTACTTCAGTACCTGATTTTTTTCTCTTTGCAGGCAAATGTCGGTGCCGTTATTCAACTCGTGTTCTTGCACTTGGTTGCTGATATTCGGTGTTTCTAAATTGAAGCATGATGTGACAGAAGAGAAGAATAGTGTCTCTCTTTAGTCAGCATGGAAAAGTGTCTCAGTCTGCATATAGATTGTTGTGGCACCAACACGCTCCAATGAGAGCTTAGCTGTGGGGAGGGGGTCGTCGTCGTCAGCAGCAGCAGCAGCTAAAGGACAGCGTGACTCAGCTTACAAATGCATTTGATAATTAAATGGAAACGTGTGCAAAAGAAATAAATAAAATAAAATGCACGTTAGTGATATAGCTGTGATAAGGAAGCTATTTAAATGACTTGTATAACAGTGTGGCTGATCAAAGGCTGATATCGAAATCGTTTTAACCCTACGCCGTGCATCTGTGGTCGCCTATTTTCTGTTTACGTTATGCTGATACGAGGCGCCGAATCGGACCACGGAGACGGTGTGTTTTGATCTGTCTATCGCTGCATATCTGTGTTAAGCCCTTCAGCCCAGAGCCAGCTTCTGTTGCCATGGCAACAAATGGGTTAAAGGGTTATTTTCCTTTAAAGGACAAACCACAGTGGGGGAGCTCGGGGGAGCGGGGAGAAAAGGCTCCAATTACCGGTTAGTCCACAAGTTAAACCTGGGTCTATGCACAGACTGTTCACGTACGAGTGTGTGTGTGTGTGTGTGTGTGTGTGTGTGTGTGTTTATGTATGTGTGTGGCAGGGGGGCACCGTGTTAAAAGAATGTGTGTCTGTGTGTGTCTGACTGCTGATAGGTAAGATGTTTAACTGTACACCAGTTAGTGCGGAGAAAAGAAATTGCAGACTGTTCACATGTTTGATATGTTAATTTATATTTCTTTTTATTTGGGTTCATGCTGGGGGAGGGAGGGGGGGGATGTTGAACAGAAAAAAGGTGTTCCCGCTTCTTAAAAGCAGACTTGTGGGTGAAGTCGAGGCCACGAGCTTTCCTTGTTTCTTCTGGCCGGTTAAGGGAATTTTGAGGGGACAAAAGGTTTATTTAGCTAAAGATTAGAAATCTATATAAGAATGGAATTCTATGTTTGCATACTTTCTATGCTATTTTCATATGAGGTTCACACTAATGATGAAAACAGAAAGGAATCTCAAGTGCTTTTTACTACAGTGTAACTTATTTGTTTTGATTTGATTTTTACCACCTGTGTTTTTAGTAATGATTTATGAAGCACTGTATATTAAAGTTTTAAAATATTCTGCAGGACTTTCTGAGTCACTTTTTTCACCCCTCACGATCACTACACCAAACCAGACCTGATAAAGTTCTAACAGTGACAGTTGCTGTTGTTTGCATTACTTCACAGTCAGCACACAAGGGGGCAGCATTGCTGCAGCGGTTCATTCAGGCAGAGGAAAGGAGGAGGAAGCTGTTCTGTGCCCAGAGCCAGAATGTTCTGTGATGGCTTAATCACATCTGATTGGCTTATGTCATATTTAACCATATAGCTGTACGCTATTTGGTATCATAAATATGGGACATGACAGCAAGTCAGTGCAGCAATTTATTCCAACATATTTAAATATTCATGGAAATACAGGAAATCAGAAAAAAACAGTTTGTTCGTATTTGGTATGACCGTCTTTCTTCTTCGACACAGTTTAATCTCTTAAAGATCTCCATATATAAGAGAAACCAAAAGTTTCTCATTTGGGTTCATCGCTCCTCGGTCCTGTTTCTACTGGTTTCCAGTACAGTTATGGTCTAATTTAGACCATAACTGTACTGCCTACAGCCTTTCCTCTTTCTCTTCCTTAAAAAAATGTTTCTTGACCACCACCCTTCCACTGAGACAATTTCTGCTGAGGCTTCAACGAACAGTAGATCAATCAGCTGCATCTCTCAGGTCTTTGCTGGATTTATTCCCATTTCTTCAGGATATAGCTTTCAGAGACTATCCATCTGTTCTAGTCTTTTAGTCTAGTCCAGTTTCCTAATATCTATCTAGCTATGTATCTATATATATATGTAGACGAATACATAGATAAACATTACATCATCCTCATTGTGAGGTTATGCTCTTAAAGATAAAGTTCCTGCTCTTATCGGTGAGATTAGAGTGAAAACAAAAGTGTGTAATACAAAACTTTCATTTTCATTATTGAGTTTATTTCTGAGAGAAAGTGTCAAAGGTTTCTCACTGCAGCTTAGGATGCGCATGAGCAGGTTAGAGCATGAAACTTGTAAAAACCTGAGCCTTTGTAACAATGATGCTTGGGTCTATATGGCTGTGACTGTGTAGGATGTTTAAGAGATAACTGTAGGATCTGACAGTGGAGATAAAGTGATGAGGGGAACCGAATACTCCCACTAGCAGCAGGGCAGTCTGGGAAAGGCAAACAAGAACAGCATGCTGTTCAGATGTGTCCTCTCGTTCTCTTTTTGCTCATTCCAACCCGTGGGAGGAGGAGGCGGAGGAGGCGGAGGAGGAAGACAAATAGGAGGAGTGGGAGCCAAGGAGGGAAACAGGCATCACAAAACTTTATCTGCCTATCTTACAGCTGGAGAAAATTAGAGATCAGGGCGGGCAAAGCTTTGCAAACACTGAATCAAAATTGCACAACACCTCCATCACATCCATCTCTGAGCGTTGGTTGAGTTTGAAAAATTGCACTCATCTTTTACATCTAAAAACACTTCTAAGACATTCCTGCAACTTAATGATAACTTGTATCAGCGCCGGTATTGCAAAGCATCCATCACATCAACAAAGAGAGACTAGAGGCTATTTATAACAGCTCTCATACAGTCCAAATCCCTCCCCGAGGCTCAGACAACATGTGTCAAGAGAAACTTGACAAATACAGCCAGGTGCTCTCCCTGAGTGTGTGTGAACAAGAGTGTGTGTGGGAGTTAGAGAGAGAGGAAATGAATGTGGGGATTTTTTTTGTTGTTGCTCAAACCCGTTATATTACTTTCCGTGCCTGGCCATCAGAGCCAAGCCCAGCAGGAGGTGTGATATGAGGACTCTCAGCCTGATGTCCAGATCCTGCCAAATCCTGGACGGATCTGCCACCTAAATGTAGCACCTAAAATCTGACAAATGTTTCCAAACGTTTGCTGAAAAGTTCAAGGTTACAACAAAGAGTATAAAGGGTTCATTGATTTAAGTTTAATCTGTTTTGTTTTTTTTGTCCAGACAATGAAAGGTTTTCAAGATATCCATCCATTTCAAACATGAAACATCTCAGCAACATTTTGACTGACTGAAGCTGATTTTGTGGCAGACATTTATATACCCCTCAGCTATCTCTCTGTGCAATCATCTCAAAGGTTTTGCAAAATATATTTCCACCAGCTCTTATTTTATTGTACCTTATAGCTTTCTGAGGAGCCTTCCTCCAGACTTAATAACCACTTATTAGAACACTGGAGCGTGTTTTCAGGCATTTCTCATCTGGTTGCACTCACTAAGCACAAAAAAGTGACAAAATAAACTGCATTCAAACCCTGGCTTCCATCTCACCGCTGTACAGATGGCTAATAATTATGGAATGAGGTGGGTGTGAACTGTTGGTTGCACAGAGTCACAGAAATGTTTGAAGGCTGCTCTGCGACGCCCCAAGGTGGTGCGGGAGGGGAACGCCTGACCACCTCACAAGCAGCTGTGCATATTGTTGCATTCAGGCGTAATTAGCAAAGGTTTGCATACTAATGTGCTAAATTAAGATGCTGGACGTGGTGATAGGATGCTGATTAGTGCAGCCTCACAGAACCACATCCGTGGCCTTTTATTCCAATCCCCGTTTATTGTTGTAAATGATTAATGGCATTGTTTCACCACAGTCGCAAATGGTTTATTTTCTCAAGTCGTTCCTAAACAGAGGGAGGGGAGGGTGCAAAGAGTGTGAAACAGACTAAAATACAGTTGAATTTCATTCTTATAAGGAGGCCCTTGTTACTGAAACTACCTGAAGCCATATTAACAGAGAGGAATGCTTGCTAAACTCGTTCATTTGGCTTAAACACATGGAAAAAAACAATTTTTTTTTATTATTTTCCCAAACATCCAAGCCCAGGCTCGGAGGCCTTCCCGTCTCATTAACTACCTCAGAGCAGAGGCTTTCTCGTGGGCTTGGAGAGGCCGACTTATCCCCTCTCTGTGTGGTTTTTGGGGAGCTGGCTCCCATACAAGCGTTCATGGCAGCGGTTCATCGTTTCTGCGCACACATACACACACTGGATCCTTATTAGCAATTACAACGCCAGAGGGTCTATTTATACACATCTGCTGAGACAGAGCACTGCAGCGGTAACAGATACATCCAGCAGCACTAATCAACTCCAGCCCAATCCCTGTAAACAAGATGAGAGGGCGGATAGAGGGAAGAGAGGAATAATGTACCAGGGGAAGGAGGAGGGTGAAGGCGGGAAGACAAAAATAGGAGAGGCGGCAGGATGGAAAAAAGAAATTAAGAGGGGAAGGGTAGAAAGAAAGGGATCAAGGGGTGAAAGAGGTGTAGATGAAGACTGGGAGAGTATCTGAGAAAGCCATCAATAATCAGTAACAGAAGTAAGGACCAGATTCTTCTCACAATAGCTGTTCCAGCTATTCTCCTGCTACACAGTCTTTCAAAGGAAAACTGAACTTCTAAATTAACATATACAGCCAACAGGCTGCTTTGGGATCCTCACCGGGGATAGAGATGACCCCGATTTACCCGATTTGTGCAAGACTCATTTTACAAACTCCCCACACCGGATTTTATTTTGCCAAAGCCAGTTCAAAAATGATAATGGGAGTGTGGAGGACTGTGATACTGTCCAACTGGAGTGTTTGCAGGTGACCACATAAAAAAATTAGTAAAATTAGGTGGCATTAATAAGGCTAATAACAAACAATAGTTTGCTGTTTATTTCACTCAAGGTCAAATTTTTCTTGACCTTCCTTGAAATGCTGGTAACTGATAAAAAGAAAAAAGGCAAGAAGTCTTTTGGCTTTTTAAGTAGTGCAGCCTCTCCCCACCGTGCTGCTACTGCTGCTGCTACTACTGCTGCTACTACTAAAGCCATTAAAAATGCAAGAATGTCTGCTCCACATTTAGTCAACCTTTTAATACTTTTAGAGGATTTGGGAAGCTTGAAAATTGATCTTTGAAAACAGCGGCTCAATATTTTGGGAAATACGCTAATTTGTTAAATTACAATCAGGAGCTGTTTAGCATAGCTTAGCATGAAGACTGTAAACCTGGGGAAACTGCTAGCCTAGCTATGTCCAAAGCAATACTGCGACTGCAACACACCTCAAAGAAGTTAAATTAAATCATTTTAAATAACAGCAGATTTTTTTTCTAGATGAGGTAGAGGAAGAAAATGATGGGAACACCTTTCAAAAAAAAAAATCCATATATTTTTTAGACTTATCAAATTTAGCATCTTAGCTGCTAGCATAGACAGGTTGTGAGTCTATCACGGGGCTTAAACAGAGAGACTTAAGTAAAAAACAATGAAGATGAACAATACATTAAAAGTGTTGAAATAGCCTTTTCGTTGTGGAAATGAAGCTAGCTTCCTCACTTATACACCAAATGGAGTTTGAAGCAGGGGACTTCCTGTTGTGGTGCATGTTTGAAGTTGAAGGCCTCAGTTTTTATGCTGAGCTATACAAACTGACTGCTGGCTGTAGCTGGACAAATATGAAAGTGGTATTTTCCATCTGTTTACACAGAGATTAGTTGTAAGCAGTTCAATCAAAGGTTATTTCCAAATCTCATATTGCTGTGTTTAAATAATCAGAGGCCTAAAGGACTCGATAATTATCTTAGCTCCTTTGAGCTCCTTTTGCAGGATGGTTTTTTCTCCTATGATTTAAACAATAGTCATTTTTAGCCATCTTTGCAGTATCATATTTAAACTTGGAAGCAATTAGGAAAATTGCTTTGTTGAAAATTGCTAACCTTGACTGAATTACTGCCATTAGAGCAAGAGAAATCCCTCTTTCTAACGGAGGGGAAAAAGTGAACAACTCTTTTAAACTCCTAACAGTTATTACTAATTACCTGCGAGGGTCAGTTTTTAAGTGAGTGAAAAGTATACAGTTGATTTCCTGTTCTCATTTTTTGTCTTTTAAAAAATCCCACTAACAGGTTTAGCAGCTGACGGCAGGCTGGGCATTCTACCACATGTTCACAGGCCGGTGCGGGTGTAAGGAACATTTTCACAAACACACCTTCTAATTTCTTAGCAGACCAGTCCTGTA